TGGCTGAAGATCCCCGTGTGGCCTGCAGGAGCTGGTGGAGCGGCGGCGCACGATGATGGAGGAGTTCAGGAAGTACCGCAAGATGGCACAAGAGCTGTACATGGAGCAGCGCAACGAGCGCCTGGAGCTGCGCGGGGGTGAGACACACAGGGCTGGGCAGGGCCACTGCAGCTCCTCCTCCAGAGGGCCATGGGGCCCCCCAGCCCCTTCTCTTCTCCCTCTGCTTCCTGCTGTCCCTGCTGAAGCCAGTCCCGTGTTCTCTGGAGGGTTTTGTACTTTTCATCCTGAATCGTGCCAGGATTTAAGGGGGGAAAAAGGCATTGGCTTGACTGTGGGATAAAACGAGTAGGAAACGGTCATAACCACTGATTATGATTTAAAGCACCAAACACCTCTCTACCTCTTGTTTCACTGCTGCTCTAAGGGCTTTCTGCCAAGAGCATCAAATCATTCCATTGCTGCCTTGTTTGTTGTGTTCACTGTTGGTGTTTTCTCCATTGCAGGGGTAGACACAGATGAGCTGGACAGCAATGTCGATGACTGGGAGGAGGAGACTGTGGAATTTTTTATCAATGAAGAAATTATTACCCTTGCAGAACCAGAGTAATTAATAAAACTGTGGTAAGATAACATAACTCTTGAGAGAAACTCTCTGTCAACTATTGCTATAGATTTGATAATTTGCTTTAGGGAGTTAGGTCTGTCTGTTGCACTGGTGAATGTGCTGTTCCCTGAGTTGGTTTATGTTTTTTTCAGTGGTTAGGAAAGATAAGTTTTTTAAAAATTAATTGTAGACAGTCAAAATTGTGAGTAGAATAACTGTATAAATCCTGTCTTGCCAGAGGGATCAAACCCACAGCAGAGTCAGGGGCAGCCTGTGAACACAGTGTAGCAAACTTGTAAGTTCTGTCAGTAGGAGGAATTGTAGTTGGTATGAGAATAGAATTTTGCCTTTTGGAAGATTTGCATGTTAGTCCAAGACTGGACAGAGTTTAAATACTGTATTAAAGATTATACAGCACTGGTTATATGTCAGTAGGCTGATAAAACTTTGAGATGATGTTTAAATATCTGCATGAACTCAGTTACTGTTTTCTAGAAAAGTTGAATAGAGATCACGTGGTAGCAGATTTTTGTGTACTGATTGGCATGGCTTGGTGGGAAATCTTGTATTTAATTCAGTGTTTTTCCCAGCTCCTTCTTTGAATTGCTATGTTTTATGTTGGCAATGGAGGCTACTTCCAGTCCTGTGGTATGAGATGTCCTTTAGTGAGCCTGACATTGTATTGAGGAGAAAAAACACTTTCACAGACACTGACAGGATTTAAAACTTGCAGAGGTTCTGCTCTGTCATGTTTAGGATTTGCTTAAGGAAGAGGGAGACTGGAAATGCAGCTGTAAGTCACCCTGCAGTTCTTCAGCCTCCAAAGAGCTCAGGTGCAACATGTGCCTCTTGGAGCTGTAGAAAAATAATAACCTTGATAGCTTTGACTGTATTTGGGTCTGGCTTATGTGTTCCATACAAGGGAGATCTTTTTCTGGAAGGAAGAGGGAGAGAAGCTGCTTAGTGTATGAATTTAAACCACCTGAGTTTGGGAGGAGGTGAAACACAAGCTGGTGTAGCCTTTCACCAGCTGAGCTTCTGAGGTTGAGCTGTTGGTATAAAAGCACAGTAACTAACTCACCTCTCTTTTTTGTTTCTCTGCAGCTCCACCAGATCTTGTGCTGAAGAGAAGTTTGTTTGTTTTCCAAAAGCCTATATCAACTTTGGAATTCTTAATCCATATTCTTGCACTCTGGAAGGGTGGATGCACCAGATATTCTCCATTCTGACACATTGTAGTGCCTTTAAGTCTTGCTGCCTGCTGCAGTGAGATACTGGAAAGGCGCTGCTTTTAAATTTATATTATTTTTTTTTTCTAGGGTTTGATTATTATTTTTTTTTCTTTTTAAATCCACTACTACCAGTATTTACTTCCCCACTCCTGTGCAGTCCTTGCCAGCTGGCAGTTTTTGCCTCGTGCCAGTGAGGTGAGATTCACCAGTGCACCCCTGTCTCACACACAATGTTTGGGTTCCAGGACTCTCTCTGTGCCCCCAGGGCATGGACAGGTGTTCCTTTGGGTTGGGGCAAAGTCACCAGAACCATTTTCTGTATGATGTGTTTTAGTGTGCTGAAACAGCACTACAGCGGGCTATACCCTCCTCCTTTCAGATTGTGAAAGGATGTCTCCCTCAAAGAGCTGAATATGGAAATAAAAGCAGACCTATACTAAGGCTGGCTGTGTGTGGTTTGTAGGGAATCTTCCCCTGAATGATCAAAGTCAAGCATCAGTCAGTAATAAGAGTGTGTTTGCTGGATTGGCTAATGGTTGCTTTGGATTTTTTTTCAGATCTTGGTTCCTCATCGCCCCTCTGGCTTTGTGTTGTGGTTGCTTGGTTTTTTACAATATGGTGCAGCTCATTAATCTGTCACCTTGACCTGTTCATGGTAGTGCAGTGACTAGAAAATGTCTGGATTCTTAAACCATTTGCAAACTGATAAAAACTTCAGGAATTACTGGGTTCGTGTATCCTACTAGGGAAACCTGCACACTTCAGAGCACTGCTCTGTGCACATGCTTTTTGTTCCCTCTTATAGCACCTGTTTCATTTCCAAAGCCCTCCAGGCTCAGGATGGAGAGCTGTACCCAGAGCTGGTGCAGCAGCTTCTCTGTATTTTTATTTGTGAGCAGAGCTGGGTGTTGTCAGAGCAGTGAGAGGCTGGCCTGTTCCTTGCCCTTGGAGAATGAGGAGGTTCCTGTCTCCTCTCCTGGACTGGGCAGGGGAATTGCCAAGGTGAGCACTCCTGACTGGCTTTCCTTAAGCCCAGGGCTCACTTGTGAGCAGGGTGGGACAGCTCTGGAGTGGGAGGCCCTCTGGACACAGGGCAGCCTCACTCAGCTGCAGCTGGCCAAGGGACAGGGGTGTTCTCAGCACTCACTTTGTCGTTTGCTGTGATGGCCAAAGCACAAATGCCCCAATTAACTCCCATGTCTTCACCGGGAAGTTTTCAAAATTATTTTCCCATAAATGGTACTGACTTAGTTTCAACAATTCACTCTTTAACCAGCATATGTTGTTTTTTCCAAAGTCTGTATTAATTTTCAATTTTCTGCATTTGTTCATCCATAATCCAACAGGTACACTTGATTAGTTTACTCCACAGTATTTCCACGCCTTATTTATCAACTAGACTGGAAAGAATACTTTTTAGAAAAAACTTAGAGCATAACTAAGTTCTCTAGTGATCATGGAATGGTTTGGGTTGGAAAGGATGTTAAAGCCCATCCAGGGAACCTTCTCCTATCCCAGGTTGCTCCAAGCCCCATCCAACCTGGCCTTGGACTCTGCCAGGGCTGGGGCAGCCACAGCTGCTCTGGGCTCCCTGTGCCAGGGCCTGCCCACCCTCATGGTAAAGAATGATGGCTTGAACTTGCACAGCAGGAGTCATTTTTATGACCCTTTTGTTGGGAAGAGCTGACATCTCAACAGTTTTTTGAATCACAAATGGAGCCGGAAGGTTTTTCCCCTGTTTCCATGCAGTGATGGTTTCATAGGCTACTGTGTTTTATTCCTGGCTCTTCTCTAAGTAATTGAATGTAATTCCAGTGTTGAATGAATTGGGTTCTCTTCTAAGATGCTTCTCTGAAGTGTGGATCATCAGTGGAGGAAAACAGCAACCCAAAAATTGCATCCAAAAATTGCATCCAAAATTGTTCCTGCAGCAGCTTTGGAAGCTGATGAGATCTTGTTCTGACCAGCAGTTCAGGCCTTTTCTCATCTAACACTGGCATTTCTGACATCACTCCCTTCAATTACTTCATCTTTTCTCTGTGTTTTTCTTACTTCACATGCCTTTTGTAAATTATGTGCTCCTGAAATTGCTTTATGGGAATGCACTTGGTAAATAAATTATCCTCTTTGCCATATCTTGGAATAGCACTGGGAGGTGGAGGAGGGAGGAGGGTCCTGTGGGATTGAATCCATCTGTGTAGCTTTGAGCTCTCTGCCACTGCTGCTCAGCCTGTGCCTTTGGAAGGGCTGCAGAGGCTGGTCAAAGCAGAAGCAGGTTTGGAGGTACTGTCTAAAGCTGTGTATGGTGAGGGAAAAGGCTTCCCACAGCACTTGTTCCTCCACTGAGTGCCCTTAAGGGTCTGGAATTTGGGTGGGAAAGGAAATGAACCTTAAGCATTAAGATAGTATCTCTCCTTGGTTTTGTTTAAGTATTGTATGAAGTATTTTCAATGATTGTTCTTAAATAGCAGGATTAACTAGGCCAGTTCATGTAATCCTGGGCTAGTCTTCACTCTGTCTTTAGTTTGAATTTGTAATAAATATTCTCATGACCTTTTAACCATCTACAGCCCTTAATGCAACTTCACAGAACAAATTTCGGTCACTTGCTATACTAAGTTTTAACTTGTTAAATTCTAATTTTTTTCATTAAGCCCTGCTGTAACTTTTTTGAGCTTTGGCTCCTTTACAGTCAATCAATACAGAAGGTGATCTTGTGGGGTTTTTTAATTGGGTTGTTGGAGTGCATGGACTCCTGGTGTTCCTGGGCTCCCTGGTTCAACTGGGGAAAAAAAGACTGGCACTATTCATGCTTGGTTTAAAGCAAAAGTGGTGTGTAAGTAATCTTATAGAGAGAAAACTGTGCAGTAGGGTGAGGGAGGCTGGGTCACCTGGCAGGTGGTGGAGGTGTCACTGTGATCCTCATTGTCCCCATCTCTCTGGGACCTGAGTGACAGATTCACAGTAAGCAGCCAAAAGCAGCTGGGATTAAAGTCCTGCCAGAGTCCTCACAATTCCTGCAGGGTCTCAGCATCTCTGTGTTGATCCCAGTAAGAGGAATGCTTTGAAAATGTAATCCTCTCCCAAGTTTTAACCTTCAACCCCATGCCTCTCAGTTAAACTGAAGCACTGCTCTCACAGTGTGCTGAAACACGATTGGGGCAGACACAGAAACCTCTGCTCTAACTGGAATCGCTTAAAATAAAGTCAATAATATGTGGAATACCTTGCATTCCTCTCTAATGCAAGGAAAAGCCTTAGTACTTGGTGTGACCTGGCTCCACATGCTGCTCATTTGAGCTTGTTTTCTTGCCCTCAGTGGCTGGGGCTCCCAAGTGCAGTGATTAACTGGGGCATTCTGGAGTTCAGGGCTGTCCAAGAGACTTGCACGATCCCCTCCATCTCCTGGAGGATTTGGGATTATGGTGTAGACAATAATATTTTTAAGAGATGTGGGAATGAGCTGCTCCTAGCAGAGTCCCTCAGCCCTGTTTAGAGAGCTGATGAAACTGCAATTAACTTATTCTTGTGAATATTAAAAGCTGTCTAAAGCTAGGGAGCTCACCTGGTATTCTGAGATGTTCGCAGCAAAGAAATGTTCCTCTACTGCTGCTGGAACTACTCAAAACTGTCTATTAACACTGTTTGAGACTGGGAGCTGTTGGTGAGACCCTTGTTTAATTGGTACATGGTTTGTTATTGTGGAGATAAATCTGGTTCCTATAGAAACTAGTTGCTTGTGACTGGTGGGGCTGTAGAACAAGTCTGTTTTGATAAGTGCTCACTGGGTACAGCATTGTTCCTGTGCACTATGAAATGTTTTAGCAGCATCAGCTCTTCTGCCAGGAGCTGCAAAGGGGATGTCACTGTGTTTTATGAGAGCAAAAACCCCCATGGAAAGGTGAAAATAGAATTTTTCCAATCTCTGTTATTATCTGAGATCCCAAAGGCAGTTCTTGGGTGGAATTTCAAGCAGACCCTGTGCCAGGCACACACAGCTTTGGGTCTGTGCCACTCACCCACAGCGAGTGAGGGCCAGAGCAGGATCCCAGCCTCAGGGGGCCCATTAACCCCACAGCAGCATTGCCTCTGGGGCTTCACCTGTACATGAAACAGCCTGGAACACACGTGCTCCTGTCTGTTATTAATGCTGACAAATAGGCTGTGCCATTGTGTTTTAAATCTTGGATTCAAATCCTCTGTTTCAAACAGAGCAGTGTTTCTGACTGATTGAGTTGTGGCACGAGGCACTGGCACTTAATTGCTACTTTCTAATTGCTGCAGTCCTGTGATGAATTCCAGATGAATTCCAGCTCCTGGGGAACCCTGTGGGACCTGCACAGATCAGGGCCAACTTGCTCTGATCTGGTTGAACAGGCTCATAATGATTGTTACCTGGGATTAAACAAAATGGGTACTGAGTGAAATGCAATTCCCTTTCTTTGCCATGGATAACTTTAATCAGTGTTTGGGGAACACCAGGGGAATCTGTGATTGTGCTCAGCTCCACAACTGTGGGTCCCAGACCTCTGAAGGTTCCTGCTGGCTGCAGCAATGACACAGCTGAGTTCACTTTGCCACCCTCCCTGTCAATCAGTCAGAGTTCTGCTGTGCTAGAGACAGAAACAGAGGCAGAGGGAGGAAGAATTTGTCAAGATAAACATGCAAACCATGGGAGAACAAACTGGTTTTAACTTTATAAACTTCATTAAACTCTAGGCTTTAAAGCTTCCTGTGCAGAGGCACTGCTTTTTTTCCAGTTCTGCATCTTCCACCTCTTGCTCACCTTTACAAGAGGCAGGAACTGCAGAAGGCTCCCACTTACCTCTTCTACATTGCTACATCTTTTTACATCTTTTTATTGTGCCCTTGTTATTTACCTTCATTTTCGATGTAAATCCCATTATTTTTTATTGTGCTTCAGCTGATCTTTCTCTGAACCCTTCCTGAACACACACTAATTCTGTAATATATCTTGTCTCCACAATAATCACATGGTAGCAGCCCTCAGAAGTAAAGAGAGCATGAATCTCTCTTTCCCCTTTATGGATTAGGAATGCAATTTTTGTTTAGCACCTTACTTGTGAAAACCCTTTATTTTTTTCTTTTCTAATTTGAAGCAGCCATTAATCTCCCAAGAATATCAACTTTATTTTTATACAGCTTATTCAGACTTGCATCATTTTCCCCAAGATCTATTTTCTCTAATGGAAATCTGGGAAGGAAATGTGCATTACATTAGTCTGAGTAACTTCTGTCTATGAGAATGCTTTTCTCTTAATAATGCAAATAACTGTAATTATGGAAGCAAATTAATTGACTGGGCAGTCAAAGTACTTAAATTTCCTGGTGTATTTTGATTTGCATTCATGTTCCCTGCTATTTTTACTCCCAGCTGAACTCATTTAGAACTGCTTCTGTCTGCTTATTAATCCTGACTC